ATGCCTTATATTGAGAGGATGTAATAATAGCTAGACTTAATGGATGTTTAATAATTATAACAATTTGTATACATGTATATTAGATTGATGATACTAATAATGGGGAAACATGGAATTGGAAATTATTAGAGAATGTTATCAATGCTAAAATAATAGAATGACTTAGAATAGGATTAAAAAATGTCTTTATTATTGGATATATTGAAGATGACATAATGAATCATTATAATATTAATGGTTATATATTAAGAATACCTTGTCTAAAATGGAGAGACAATAGTGATAATCAAACAAAGGAAGCATAATAACAATGTATACAAAGATATCTTGATTGACAATATGTGAATTTTGATAAAATCCAAGTGATGACTATGGAAAAGACACAGAAAGACCTTGTAACCAATCGACATACTATATATAGTTGAAGAGGCTTTTATGTTATATTTGTTGTGTGTTTGTGTTTGTTTGAAAAAAAAAAAATTTAAAAAAAAACACAGCATAAATTGGCTGGAATTAAAAGCGGCGAGGCTAGCTCTCGTTCACTTTCAAATGACCCTCCAGGGCCAACACGTGATGCTGTTAATGGACAATGCGGCCACCAAGATACATGTCAACTGCTAGGGGGGCACTCACGCCAAATCCCTGATGGCGGAGGCGGGACACCTGGGAAAGTGGACGGAGAAACATCTGTCGTCCCTTCGAGCGGAGCACATTTCCGGGGTGAGCAATGTTCAGGCCACGATCGATGATTCGGAGTAGTGTCTGCACTCAGACCTCTTCCTCAAGATCACATGAAGGTTCAGCCATCTCTCAGTCAACTTGTTTGCCACCCCAGAGAACACTCACCTCCCTCGCTTCTTCTCCAGGTACAAGTCCCCAAGGGCAGAGGGGGTCAACGCTCTGCTTTGCTGCTGGCCACCAGGCCTCCTCTATGCATTTCCACAGCTGCTTCTCCTTCCCAGTGTCATCTGAAAGATCCTCACAGAACAGGCAGAAGTTCTTCTCGTAGCACAATTTTGGCCCAGACGGGCCTGGTTGCCGACCTCGTGAGCCTCTCCATGACCAAGCTGTGGAGGAGTCGTCCAGAGGAGGTCTCTCTCAGCCAGGGGGCCCTATCACATCCGGAACCCCAATGGTTGCAATTTGCCGTTTGGCACTTGAGAGGGACCTCCTAGAGAGGGACAGGCTCTCCTCAAAGGCCATCCAAACCATCCAGGCAGCACGTCGACCATCTACTACCAGAATCTACGAGGCCACCTGGTCAGCCTTTGCAAAATGGTGCACACCTAAGCAGATAAACCCCGCTTCAGTCGCTATACCACAAGCTTTGGACTTTTTGCAAGAAGGATTGGACCACGGATTGGCAGCCAACACGTTACATCACCAAGTTGTGGCGCTGTTCACCGTTCTCTGTCCCAGCGATCACCTATCCCTAGCATGTCATTCTAAGGTCCGCAGCTTCCTGAAGGAAGCTTCCAACTTGTGGCCCCCGGTCATTCATTGATACCCGATGTGGGAGTTGAATGTTGTGCTTCGGGCTCTAGTCGAGGCTCCGTTTGAGCCAATTCGTACCTGTGACTTGAAGCATCTAACTTTCAAGATAGTATTCCTGACCACAATCACCTCTGCACGTAGGATTTGGGGGATGGCGGCCTTGTCAGTCAGGAAGGACTTGTGTGTCAGACATCCAGACAGGGTCGTCCTCTGCTTGGATCCTTCATTTCTTCCAAAGGTCAACTCTTTGTTTCATCAGAGCCAGGAAGTCATTCTTCTGGACTTTTGTCCTCACCCAAGACATCTTACGGAACGCAGATGGCACAAGCTGGACGTGCGTTGAACCATTCGCAAATACATCAAGCGCACCGCGGTGTTCAGGCGATTGGAATCGCTTTTCATTTCCTTTCAACCTGCTACCATGGGGTGCAAAGTCACCTCCACCACCATTGGCCAATGGTTGCATGCTTGCATCACCCTTCCCTATCAGCTCCAGTCTAAACAGGTGCCATGATGTATCATGGCCGACTCTACAAGGAGCGTCGCATCCACAGCAGCCTGGGCAACTCAAGTGCCCATAGAAGAGATCTTCAGAGGGGCTACGTGGGCTTCGCCATCCCAGTTTATCCGAGCTTACAAATTTGACAAGTTTGCGTCGGTGGAAGCAGCCTTTGGGAGACGCGTCCTTCAGGGTATTCATACCGCTGGAGAGACCATTGAATCAGGTTCTTCCTGCCCTAGTGACATTTAGCTTAGGTATGTCCCATGCTTGGACTCTCCAAGCAGCGTACAGGAACATGACCGTTGGCTTACCTGAAGGGTCCTTTTCTGTACGCTGCGAGACCCCGCCCTAGGGTCTCTCTCTCACAGTTTCCATGTTTATACGCATTGCATTTCTTGATGTGGATTGTGACTTTATTACCGGACTTGACATACAATCTATGTTGACTTGAACTAAGAACAGACTCAATGGAACCACGTTTGAACAGTGTTACAGGCCCATACCTTCATTGAAAAATCTAAGGAGCTGGAAGAGGCGGCGTGGCTAAAGATCTTTCAATTCAGTCCAGGGCAATCAGGCAGAATTTAAGCCATGCTTGGACTCTCCTCACAGCGTACAGAAAAGGACCCTTCGGATAAGCCAATGGTCATTTTAAGTAGGTAAATCTTTCACCATGACAGCCATTTTCTAAAGAAACCAAAAGCATGCTCTCACAATTCTAAATGTGCCCAACACTTACCAAGAATAAATACTGTGTATACTACTAGTCGGGAAGAGTGATGGGATGGGATTATATCAGGGTGTATGAGGAGGTCTATCCAGGCCATTCTACTTACAGTTGTCTTTTCTATTGGGTCTGGAGAACTAGGATCAGGTTGGTACCTGCAAAAGAATTTAACAAAAAATCAATGGTGTCTTATTTCTTATTTCTATGGAATTGGCATACTCAGGTGGTGTTAGTAATATGTCAGAGCCACTGCAAATAAAGTCATTTTCAGAGAATTAAGAAGGCCAAGGAAGGCCATGGAGACATATTAGCATACTAAACTATAGCTTGTGGTTTTGGATTCTGATTCAAATTCCTCCCTAAAATTTCCACATGTAAGAAAATGACAGTTGGGTAAAGAGGGAAAGGAAGATGCAGAAATATGAAACTGCAAGGAAAATCTCCATGGGAGTAATGACCCAATGCTTCAGGAGCATCAACACTATTTGTGGAAATTTACTGAATATGGAAAATAATACATTATACGATAATACATCATTAGTAGTCTTCTAATATTGAGACATTCTATATCCAAAGAACTGTATGAATATCTGGAACAATATTCAATTTGGTAACAATAATTACAGTGCAGGTTACTGTATTACCTGAGAAGTAGAATGGAAAGAGCAACTAAAGTGTAGGCCAGCAGTGTTCCAATAGACATTACATCAACCAAGACCTTCAGATCGAAAAGGACAGCCAGCAGTGCTTTGAAAACAGAAAAAGGTATTTACTGCAAGAAAATCAATTGAATAATTTATATTATTATAGACATCTGTATAAGGACAAGATCTTCATTACTTTGCCCAAAACAGCTCTTGCTATGGTTTCAGTCTCTTGAGTTAGAAATTAGGTAAGGGAGAAATTCTGTGTGAACAGGGGGTGCACTTTGAAAATAATTCAGAGTACTCTGAAATCAGCACCTCTCTGCTGTTCAGTAAAGCACCCAACGTTCTGGTTTTGAGTGAGACTATAAAAAAAGGCACTACTTCAGGGAGTCAACTTACGATAGGGTCAAAAGCATTTCTAAACTGTTTCTGAAGTATGGACACCCCTAGCCATGATCCAAAAATGGTCAAGTTCAACTCAAGGAATATTTATGCTCATCGTTATTTTTTCTGGAAAAACAATACCTAGACTTACCTGAAACAGCTCCAGATACCAAAGTTGCAATAACTGGATTTTGTTGGCAATTCACTCTGGCCAAAACATGAAAGAGAAGTCCATCCCTGGCCATTGCATATAAAATTCGTGGCATTGGGAACATAGAACCCAATAAGCTACAAAATAACCCCAAGACAAGAGTAAAATATCTCTGTTAATAACTCTTTGTTTCCTGTGGCAATCTGCATTACATGCACTGGAATAAATTTTGCAAGAGAAGAAAAAATCTACAGCTTCAGGAAAAATGTGAATCATGGAATTGATATTTTGAGAATGATATACTTCTTATAGAGCTTGATGATAAAAGAGTGTTTTAGGAGATCATTGTATTTTAACCTCCATTATGCCATACCTGATAATAAGTAAAATGATCTGCAACATGTACTTGACATACCTGAGACACATGAGAAAGGAAGTTTTATACTTATAGTGATTTGTTCTTATATAGTAATAAGCAAAGCAGGTCCATTAAGAAGCCGATTACATAAAGGATGGACAAGCTAAAATGTATTATGTACAGTATCTGCCCCCTTTAGTTTCATTGTTATTTTTGTTTTAATCCTGTTCTTATGTAAACTGGTTCAAATCATCAGAGAAGCCGAGTAAAATGAACAATAATCAATTACTGTATTTTGTCTAAAAAAATCAAAATCAATGAATTATATAATGAATGGCCGTGGACTCAAAATAATCAGATAGAAAAATCTGCTCACAAAATGCATAATTAATTCATTTACAGAATTTGCTATCCTGAAATATAGTTATTGCCACATATAAATTTATTAAGTGCTGATCTACCAGTGTTACCTATCTACCTGTTAATGACATTTAAATAGAACCCAAGTTTCACAACCTTTAAAATAAATGGTTAGCAAGCAACATTGTGTGACATGTTGCCTTCCTGCCTTTGTCATGGTCTTGGACATATCTGTATGGCAGTAGTGGTTTTCAAAAATTGTTCGAACCTACTCTGTGGGTGTGGCCTCCTTTGTGGGAATGGCTTGCCGCCCATGTGACCGGATGGGAGTGGCTTGCCACCCATGTGACTGATATGAAGATGCTGACGACACTTGTCAGAACCTCCTTAAATTACCTCACACACAGCACTGGCATGCATGTATAGGAATATGATGTAAACTTGTTTTTTAAAAGCCATCTTTGGTTTGCGTTAAAACAACTTCAACACACGCAATG